TCTTCAATCAATAGTCAGTACAGTGCTGTGGAAAGTATTGTTGGGGAGTATGATTGGTCCACTTTTGGTATTGATGAAGATGGCCCAGTAGCACCAAGCACTAGTGAAAATTTTGTCGAAGTACCTGAAGTATTCATACCCCTTTCCAATGAACAACTCGAAGAACTAAGGCAGCGTATATCTCCTCTTGTGGAAGATGGAAATCATGGTTGTAATTTGTATATAGAAACTGTTCGTATGGTTAGAAATTTTTTTCAATTGCAATAAGATTTAACAATTCCAATGATACAATGAATATGAATATGCGAAGACAGTTGCATAGTTTCTGCTTCAAAATGTAAGCAACCTAGATGCATTGAGCATTTAACGGATTACTTAAAAACTAAAACAACAAAAGCCGTGTTTAGACTACAACCCCAAATCTGGCTTTCGCCTAGATTTCCGTAGTGTAAACACACTTTGGCCTAAGCCAGGAAATCTGGGCCCATCGCAACAGGTGTCCCAGGCCAGGCTTGGGCTTGTAATGTAAACACGGCTATACCACAGAATAAGAAGGTACAGCAGAAGCGTAACTCGAGTCGGTTCCCTTATTGTTTTACGTCCACGAAAATTTTAACTTGCTCACGCCATTCTGGCTAGTACAACCGGAAGTTTTTATCAGGTTTTGGTAGGTACAAAGTGCCGGTTGTACTAGCTAGGATGGCGTGATTAATGACGAATCGCTTGTAAAAACGCGGACAAATAATTGTTTGAGTTACTCTTCTGCTGTACCTTCTTATTCTGTGGCTATACTATAGCTTGAATAGCAATGAGTCTTCAAACAGAACAGTATGTTGAGTTTTCACATCCTTCCAAAGGTGTGCTTTCCATGAGACACAGAAAGGTCCATGAATTTAAGAAACTCCTTAAAATCTGTGTGGCATGTTGGGATTTTAATAGAATTAAAACATGCATCTGCAATAGCTAACACTTGACTGGCTTCATTCGGTAAAAAACCGACTTTCATATCCTCTTTCATTGCTGGAATACCGGGCCAAGCAGTCCAGAATTGTAAAAGATCTTCTAGTGTTTCTTCTGAGTTTCCTAAAATAGAATATTAAGGATTGATCCCTGCAGTTTTTGGCCATGAGAAATTTACCTAGTTTATTTAAATTGAAATTTACTTATCAACCATGCTAATTTATAGCGAACAATACCTATGCTGTTGCTATGACAACCATAAGTAATTGATTTTGTAAAGAATTGGCAGTGTAGATTTTTTTCTAATCTATTCAAAAATCAGACCTAATTTTTTCACTTTCAAAGAGAGAGTTGGGTATCACCTTAAATTAACCAGACTTACATCTGTATTCTATAGTGGAAAATATAATTATATTTATCAAATTAGTAACATAACAGAGCATCCAGCAATTTGAAGAACTAACCAACTATATGCTAATCTGGAATATCTTTTGTTAACCTATTGATTGCAGTGGAACCTAATAGTACTCTATTTTATTCTTTTTACTCGGTATATTAAGATTATTAAGTATTACTGTAACACCAAACAATTTCACTCATCAATAGCCGAGCATGCACAGTAATGCTCATACAAAATATGGCCTAAAATGACATACTTGCCGATATCCCAGTCATTTGAACCTCCCTTGGCCAACACTGGGGATACACGGAACCCCAAGTAAGTACATCACTAAACTAAGATCGCAAAGACACACAGTCACCGTTTGAAAAATGTTTACCAACATTGAAAATATTCTAGGACTTGTTCAAGTTGATTATTTGTATTTGGCCCCCACTATGTACAATAGCACCGCACTTTCGAGCAATTGACCACTTGCGTAATAGACTAAATTTTGATCTCAACAAAACTTTCAACACAGCTTGAAAGAGCATCACAAAATTTGTAATATTCCAAAGTTTCGTTGCGAAATGTTGTAAAATGCGGATAATATAGCCTTGCGAAGTTTGCAATTTTCAGTCATTTTAGATTACAAACGGGAAATTGACAGCCCCAAACCCTTCGAGGCTGTCAATTTCGCGTTTGTAATCTAAAATGACTGAAAAATGCAAACTTCGCAAGGCTATATTTTCCGCATTTTACAGCATTTCGTAACGAAACTTTGGAATATTACTAATTTTGTGATGCTCTTTCAAGCTGTGATGAAATTGTCTAAACCTGTTTAGATAAAAATTTAGTCTATTACGCAAATGGTCAATTGGGTTTGAGCAAATTAGCGGACACTTAATTTTGACAATACGAAACCTAACTCAAAAAAAATTCTTTGGTGCCCCGTCCCCTGTCGCAGTTTGCAAGCCTCAAGCGAAGAGGGCAAATTTAGACCACGCAGATCCAACTGCAAATTTTTTTGGGCTACCTGCAAAAAAAACTAAATATACAGGCATGGTTGGCTTACCTCTCTCCGAAAGAACATTGAAATATTTTTCCATATGCTGTTTGGCAGTAATTTTGTAATTATCGTCTGTAACATCATAGTCAACAAGCTTCATCAGCTCTTGCAAATCGATGGAACTGTCTGCGTCGGGAAAAAGAAGTTGCTTAATATCTGGGTGTTGATGGACGAGGTTAAGTAGAGTGCTTCCCATAGACCTTTCTGCGCTAAGACCTTTCTTGAGATCATCAAGAACAACTGCCCGCTTAGTGATGACGTTGTGTGTTAAGACACACTCATAAGCCATCAATTTATTTGAGGATGTGATTTCAAGATAAGGAAATCCAGCAGCCACTAATGTGTCACCCAAGTAACACTCATCATTGCTATCCATGAACTTTCCAAGGTCACTTTCTGGAGTATTCAAAAGCTAAATAAAATAAGAGAATAAATTTCCCAACTGCTGCTGATTTCAATGTTGTCATTTTGTTTTGCCAACGATCATCTTATGCAAAACATCTAGGCAGATTTTCACGGTTTAAAAATTTTTGGATCAATGGTCAAATAGTGAAGTTTCCATGATTTATGTAGCCTGCTCACAGGGTTGGTGTAAGAATAACAACGTCTGTGAGCAGGCTATAATTTATGGAGATTTTGATATAATTTGGGGGTGGTGACGAAGAGTGCACCCTGTCAACTTAGACATGTGCTTGATGAAAAAAAAACTGTTCGAAAAAATATGTTTAGAAGGTAAAGATAGATGCAAGCAGTAAAGAAATAGCATACAATTCTTTACCTCTGTAAGTGTTTGGCGCAGACATGGATCTGGTATATCATGCAATGTGACATCTTCCAGCACAGTGTCTCTTCTATCATTTAAAACATACTTTATGGCAGCGGGTGAAATGCCTTTCAAACCTTTACATTTGTTGATTATTGCATGGAGAACCATCTTTCCGACCAGTTCAAAGAAGTGGCCAGATACAAGATCATAATTGGACACTGGTAGCAAATGCCCAATTTCTCCTTCAAATAATTTTACGCCATTTAAACAGGAAGACACAATTTCCTTCATCAATATGTTAAAGAACTCCCTTGTAGGCCCTCCTGCATCAATCCCATGCTCATAAGTGCCAGAACTTATAAACTGAACATTGAGAGGAGCACCTAATTTGAATTGTGGATTCTTGTATCTTCTAATCACTTGCTGCATAACACTTTTATCACGGTTGATGGTAAGGTCCACTTCAAGTGTGGCTGGTAGGGCAATGTCTCCGATGAAAACTTGCATAGCATCCAAGTGGTTTAATCTTCTACTCTTAGCTGATGCAAGAGGGCTGTTCCAAATCTCTTCATCGCCTAGCCAACAGAGAATACGAGGTGACTTGTTTTAACCCTTAATGCGCCCCATTTTAGTTAGCATTTTAATCTGTGTACTCGTTAACATGCAAGCTAGACATATACGAATATGCACCCCCCCCCCCAACTATCGCGTCTTGTTATGTCCCTGGGGGGGGGGGGTGCAAATTATAATTATATATAAGCGATTATGCAAATTGTAAGAATATATATAAGTGATGTTTAGTGCCACTGAGCAAGCTGCAGCAATGGTCTGGGGGAAGAGGGTGGCTGGATAGAATGTTAAAAGTGTTAAGAATTTTAGTCCCATTTAGTTCAACATGCTTGAATTTTCTTTTAAATTACAGGGTATTGATGTTTCATTTTGATGCAATAAAAACTATGACCTTATTTAAACCATACAACTGTAATTTAATCCAAATTTCGGGGGGGGGGGGGAGTGCAAATTTCTCTATTTACCTTGATGTATGTGGAACACTTACTATCATTTTGATCACACAGAAGAAAATCAACTGCTCCAGACATATCACGTCCAACTTCTAAAGCCTTCGCAATTCTTTCTGGTGTTTCACCAGGGAAAATGGCTTCCAATTGACTTTTGTCATTTGTTTCGTCAGATAATTTTGGAGCACTGGGTAATTCCTAAAAAAAATGTTTACAAGTTGAGTGTAGAACTAAATGAAAGAAATTAAGACAAAACCAAGGGTACAATAGGTGGTGTGCAAGTTACGTCACCATCATGTTGGATGACATTGACAAAGGATTTTTCTTATTTGCAATGCAAATATCATCCAAAATGGCGAAAAGCTGTTTGTCCTTTGAATCCCATTTCACTGGTTGAATATTACCTACAGAGAAGTGCAAAAATGAAACAAATCGATAATGACTGACAACTAACAAATCGTCTAAAACTGTCAACTGACAAAACAATGAGAAAAGTTCTGGTCAAACTGTAAACTGACATTCACTAAAATATTTAACTGTCAGTTGACAAATGGCTTGATTTTTAGCTGACAACTGACATGCAGTCCGAAACCCCACTGAGACTCTCTAATAAAATAAAATCATTTTGAGTGTCGATGAAAGAACAAACCTCAACTTCTTTTTCATCATTAAGGCTCCTTAACTCACAAATTTCAGAATCAACACAATTACCAGGACCTGCAATTAAAAAAATGAGTAATTATATTATACAATTTTAAGAACATTCATAAGATTAATGCACCAATCAAAACGAAGGTCAAGTGCCCTACGTTCCACAACTAAGTGGTGGTCAAAATATTTAAATCCATTGTAAATTTAATTTGAAGGTTAAAATTCTTCAACTTTCAACTCTCAACTTTGAACATAATTCACATTTTGACTTTAAATTTGGGTCGTTCCAGAAAAGATCCATACTCCCCCCACGGAGGAAATTTCTGCCGTCCGGAGGGGGAGGGGAGAAAAAATGTTTCTGATAATAGTAAATGTATTAGGACATCCGAAGGGGGTAGGGGGGGTTAACTTCCTATTTCCTCCGCGGGGGTGGTATGGATGTTTTCTGGAATGACCCAATGCATTTTATAATAAACATCTCGCAATTTTCTTGAAAACACAAAAACAAAAAATGTGCTTTTGATTGACACATTAAAGCCTGTGGTTTCTTGTGTCAGTGGGAAGCAAGTCTATCTATAATAGTCTTCATGTTTGATAAACTAAAAGATTTTTGATTTCTAAAAGTTTTTTAGTTGTGGTCAATTCCTCGTCCTCATTATAAGTGGAATCAAATGCCCCTGCCGGTTTAAATTTTCTCAACAACAAATGCACTCCCCTAGGGAAAATGCCGAATGGCAAATGCCCCTCTTGTGGGGGGGGGGGGGGGGGTTGATCGGCACATAACAGTGATGAATTAATACAATGAACCCAGGTTATTTAACACAAACTTTCCTCAATAAATAATTCTGAACACTTTAATCAGTCAAAAAAGGAAGCAACTTTCTGTTTAGCAAAATCTGATAAAAGATGCTTTTCAATTTTACAACACAGTGGTAATGAATAGTAAATAAAAGTAACTAACTTTTATTCTCCTCATCACTTTCAGAAAAAATATCATCTATAGAATACTGAAAAAAAATACAAGATATAAGAACATATTCACAAAGCTATTAAACATGGAGAAGTAAGAAATGGGCTAATGCAATTTTAAACTGACCCCCCCCCCCCATCTCCTTAAGTGCCCCTCCTGTTTGGAATTCCAACTAAGGTTCTTCGACAGGGGAAGGGAGTGCAGATAAAAATTGCAATAGCCCAATATTAATTGTCTCAAAAGTGTAACGTTTTATGATCTATTTTAGTTTACCTACCACAACAATTCTATACCTGATCATTCGGTTGAAGACATTTATTAGGAACAATCCATACAGTTTTCTGAGCAAATAGTCTGCAAAGCCTTTCACCATTCAATCTTTGATTGGCCATAAGCGCTGGTTCAACCAGTTGAGAACCAACCCCAACCTTGATTTTAAAGCTTCAGTAAAAAATAAATGAAAACTCAAATACAGTCCAAAAATGTATATTTGACAGTTTAATATTACTTTGCAAAGCATTTTCATATAAACTCTCTACTCCCATTTTATGCACCTTAAATCCTTAATTGTCGAACGGTATAGCCACAAACCTTGAGCCTTGGAGTTTTTCTTCAAAGGCCAAACCAATCTGTTTTTCTATTTCCTCATCCGACCAACCTTTTTTAAAGTCAAATGAACTGATCACCTGTCCGTTCTTCATGAGATCAGCTTTAGCCTTTCCTCTAACTGTGGTGCAGTCGGTAGGACTGTTTACCAAAACAACTTCTCTTGCAAAATTCGTGCATGGGTTTATTGAGGTGGATGCTGAAGACCTTTGGCTTCTTCTATTTCGCGAACGGCTTCTCGCACGGGTAGATGAACCAATAGAGGAACCAATGGAGCTGAATGAAGCGACAGTACCTCCTCCTTGCTGTCCTTGAGTACTTCCAAATCGAAAAATGGAACGGAATTCCTCAACTGGACTGGAATATGTCGCTCTCCCAAGGCCAAGATTTGCAGACGAGTTCGTAGTTGTTGCATTGTTTGTATTCGTTCTACTTCGATTTATATGCTCAGGTGTTTGTCTAGAAGACCCAACTGCATCGTTCAAAAGTGAGCGAAATTGTGGGTGATTCACCACATTATTAACAATTGTCCTCATACTACTAGTATCATCAACAGTTACAGGCGCCGAAGTTGACGAGCTTTCACCACTGAACGCCATTTCTCTTTCCGCCATGATGCTAAAATATCTGTTTATCTATTTACTACATTTCCCGCGTTAATTAACTCATTTCGTTAATTTATTACTGATTAATTTTCCTGACTAAATTTCAAAGCCGGAAGTGAATTTTAAAATGGCATTACATGAATAATTAAAAACTCGCCCCAGTCTATTTCTATAACCTATATCGCGGACAGTTAAAGTATACTCTGTATATTGTGTCATTAAGGTTATATCCTATATATTGATGTGTACATAAGTTATACTTTATATCACGAGGTACCTCGCGTATCATATCTTATATCAGAGGGGTAAATTTTAATATACTTTATATCACGAACCATTTCTATTTTGTCAGGTTTGGCGCCCCATATATATATATATACATATATATATATATATATATATATATATATATACATATATATATATATATATATATATATATATATATATATATATATATATATATTATATATATATATATATATATATTATATATATATATATATATATATATTATATATATATATATATATATATTATATATATATATATATGATATATATGAGATATATATATATATATGATATATATATATTATATATATATTATATATATTATATATATATATATATATATATATATATATATATATATATATATATATATATATATATATATATATATATATATATATATATATATATATATATATATATATTATATAATATATATATTATATGATATATATATTATATGATATATATATTGATATATATATATATATATATATATATATTGATATATATAT